ATTCATTTTATCACCTTTTTTATATAGGAGAGGAAGCACCCCTTTCCCTACAGTTTCCCCCATTTCCCCAGCTTCCCATACGTCCTGGTAATACTCCCACAGGTCGGTGCTTAGGTCTGTCCATGTGGCTTCCCAGAACTCTTTGGGAAAGTCGTCTATGCCGGGGTTTTTTTCTTCCTTCATTTGGAGGAGTGTTGTCCATACCTCATCTTTTGTTAGTGGGATATCCAATCTGTCCCGCTGTTCAGGGGATATAAATCGGTCCATTGGGGATAGGAATTCTTGTATTTCCCTGATTCTTTCCTCCCCCTGTGGGGATGGGATTTGGGAGGTATAGAGTTGTTTAAAGAATTTTTTGGTGATCAGCATGCAGTGTGCCGTGTCAGTAGCAATGGTGTTACTATCCTCCGGGTCAAAAAAGCCTCAATAGCCGTTCGTCTAGATCTGACGGTGACCATTGAGAAAAATTGGGTGTCCATTGAAGCTTCATGTGAGAGTTTAGTCATTTTCCCTCGGATTCTAATTCCTTGCCATCTGTGTAATGCGAATTGCAGGAGCTGGTCTTTTATATTTTGGATGGCTGCAATAAGATGATACGGCTCTTGGGTGGGGGAAGTAAGATGTTGTGACTCTACCTGCTGTTCCAGGGTTATTAGTTCCTTGCGAGTAGTCATTTCTTGTTGTTGTCGTAATTCTGCTTTGGCTTTTAAAAATTCCTTACATTTTTTAGCTTGGAAGATAAGACCGTTGTTGAACCATACCAGACGAGAGTCAAAGAGGGGTTTCTGTTGGCGCCAAAAGTTCCATTCGTGCCTGATCATTTGCGAGAATGAGGCATCTTTAAGCAGGGAAGTATTTAGTTTGTAAAAGCCAGGTCCTTGGTCGGGCCTTTTCCTCATAGTTAGTATTATACCGCATGTCTTGTGATCCAATCCCGGATGCGGGCTTCGTGGGAGAATCAGTGACCAACGCAAAGCCCCCTCCAGGTCGTTAGATAGTAGAATAAGATCAATTATGGATTTGGATAAGCGTGCTGGGTCACTATCTCGTATGCATGTAAAGACTCGTGTTTGACGGTGCAACCGACGAAAGGTGTCGAAGACTGAAAGCGACCTACAGAGGTCAGCTATCATTTGCTCATCCTCTGCTGCCGCGATCCTCCCCAAAAACGCCCTTCTTTCCCCTACTGTGTTTGGAGAATAAATGCAGAGGACACAAAGCAGTTCCAACTCTAGCATGCCTAAGACCGAGGACCAGCGTCCCTCTTCTTCATCCACCACCCAGTAAAGCGGTTGAAATCTAGAGTCCGGAGGGACCCAGATTGCTACCCTTGCTGAGCCGGGTCTTGGGGCATGAGCTCTTATGGTTGTGTGAGGCCAGATTTGCTTGTGTGCTCTGTTGTGCTCTGGGTTGTTTTGCAGATGGGTTTCTTGTATGCAAATTACATCTGGCCATCGCCTGCCTCCAATTCCTTTGAGTTGATCCCAGATGGCTTGGCGCTTTTCGGGTTTGCTTGATGCCAGGTCATTTACGTTGATGGAGCGCAGGTCTAGGTCAGCTGAATCTACGCACTTTCGCTGTGCCAGGTTCTTGCAGTAAAGTGTTTCTAGGTCATCCATTGCTTTTATTTTTTAGCTCATTCTCGTTTTCAAGCGGATGCCTTAGCTTAAGATCCCATCTGTCTAGGTGCGTTATAGTGGGTGCCAATGCTTGAGGTCCCACCTGTCTAGGTGCAAAATGTTTTTCCGTACAATCCGACATAGGCATCTACATACATCATCTTCAGGCCAGAAGTTGTTGGCCTTGATTTTTGCACATTGCAGATCCAGTAGAGCGTTGTGGCGATACCATCCAAGGTTAGAGGATTTATTGGGTTCGAAGAGCAGGTACATGTCATTCCGAGCGATTTGTTCACTGCAGGTCTCAAATCTCAACCCTGCCCTTGCCCCCGGAGCGAAGTGTTTGGGGATGAAGGCCGTCATTTGATCCGTGAAAGCTCTGTTTCTTTCCATGCGTTCTCCCTCATGGAGCAGAACTCCCAGCCGTGCAGCGTTACGCCCCCGTATTCTCCAACCGGAGAGAGGCCCAACTCCCATTTTCCTTCCGCTTTCCTGAGGGGGATAACCACCACCCCATCGAGTTTGGAAAGAGGCAGCTCAAAGAGGCCCCGTTCTATGAGCTGTCTAACTTTGAGTCTTCGTGAGTCATCCCCTCCTCTGTTGTTTCTCTTCCGCCATTTGGCACTGAACATGAGGGTTCATGACCTGGTGGATGCGGATCAGATGGCTCCGCCGCAGGGGGAGGGCGAAATCGTCCCCGAGCGACGGTCAGTATACGTTGGAAGGCTTCCGCCCATGTTAGATGGGGGGGGGAGCCAGAGGTGAGCGCATTTCTTAGGGAAGGGCTATTATTAAGGAGCGCCACCAGTTCAACGTAGGATTTGTCCCAGTATTCCTCCACCTCATGTGGGCAATCTGCTTGCAAGTGTTTAAGAATCCAGTCTGCCACCACTTGGACCTTCTGGTCCAAACTCATTTCTTGCGGGGGAGCGTCGGGGTCAGTTGGGTCCTTTGAAGGCTCCTCCATCTCTACATCGGGCGGGGGGGGGGCTGAATCTACGTCCATCTGTTGTGCCCTAAAGGCATCCGAGCAGAAGTCCGGGGCCAGCGAGGGCGTACTCCCCTGATTGGGCTGTTGTGCGGGGAGTGGGGACTGCCGCGGCTCCTGTTCCTGCTGTTGACCCTGCCACTCTTTCTGGGGCAGGGGAGGTTGCGGTTGTTGTGCTTGTGTTGAGTGGTGTTCCGACAGGTGTGGTGGCCGGGTCGTTGCCTGCTGTTTCAGTCGCGTTCCATGATGTTTCTCCAGGGAAGCATCCGTCTCTTTTCCCCCTAATGATGATTTGTGCTCTTCGAATATTGAGCTAGCCTGAGAGTCCTGTATGTAATGTTCCTGGCTGCTTGTCTCCTTCTTTCCCGGTGCCAAATCTGATTTAGCTGTCGATGCCTTCCCCCCCCCCTTGTTCTGGTTATCTCCTGTGGAGAGCTCAATCTGGGCATCCTGAATTTCCTGATTTGGCTCCTGGTTCAGCTCCTTTAGCCCATCTTCTAAGCAATCAAAGCGGTTGCCCCTGATTCCCGGCTTTTTTATCTGTTTCTGTCAATTCCCTCCGCGGGATCTCCTTCTTCTTCTTGCTCCCAACTGCTACCCAGGATTCCTGTTTTTTCAATTTTCCCCCACCAATCAATCAATCAATCAATCAACAAAAAAAAAAAAAGCAAAATCGAATGAATCTTCCGCTAGAACATGGAAATATACAGTACTACGTGTGTGTGTGTGTGTGTGTGTGTGTGTGTGT